TCATACCCCAAGTACCACCCCGGGGGAGGACACACGCGGCCAGACCACCATCTAGTGGCCGCAACAGGAAACAGCGCCGCCAACCAACTGGTGGTGCTTTGTTCTGAGGATGACTAATGAAACTAGTCGAAACGTAAACGAAACTACGTAAGTAATTGGCTGTGTTTATAGAAAATTCATTTACAAAGTTGAGTATACACTGTTTAAACGTCGGTGAAGGGCAAAACCTAATTTGTTTTATATCACCCTGACGCAAAATTCCATCTTATAAAAGTTTATGCGGTACCCGCTGCTATGTACATCAGATTCGAACGAGCCAACCGATCCCGTTACCTCGGTGGTCGAGTGGTAAGACATCTGCACTAGAAAGCAGGAGGTCGTGGGTTCGAATCCCACCCGAGTGATTTTTTCCAACTTTCACTTGGGAGGTAACACACTGAGTATACAGTGTTTAAACGTTGGTGAAGGGCAAAACCAAATTTGATTTACTATCATTTAAACAACTAAAATAATTTGTATATATTTCACCATTGGTAATACTAGGGAAACAGATGTCGCAATGTTATGAGGGACAGGAAGGTTCATTGGCTCCTATATTTATGGAATCACACATTTAGCAAAGTATAGCAGTACTAGACAATCCAATTTCTGTCTTATATTCTGGTTGTGTTTGCTGTAAAACTAATAACAACAAATAGGGTTGTTTCAGCTGATAGACAACATATTAGTTTTCAGTTTAGCATGTGAACTTGTTACGGATGGCCTTCCATGTTTCACGGAGCACCTGCCTATGTTCGTTCTGCATGTACACCAGAAACAGCGCCCCCAACACCATCTGCATTACTGCAATGCCGTTGATAATGTACAAGACGATAAAAATGCCCTGCGTCAGAGGCACAACGTGAAAGGCAACAAAATTCAAAAGAATCACGTTTGGGACCCAGGCAATAATGATTGTGGCGAAGTACATGCTTGAGTAGCACGCCAATTTGGATGAATGCTTTTGTTTGGGGCGTGCCCCTTGATTTGGGATATCGGGTTGGCGGTCAGCAGCAATATTTCCGAGATTAACTCTCTCGGCTTCTATCTTGCGCTGTTGATTTCTGGCAATACAGGCCAGAGCGACAACGGACACTGTGATTGTAAGTAAGCAAGGAAATGCAAAGACATCCAAGAGGACTATCATAGAAAGAGCCAAGGAAGCTTCATTGATATATAGATCAGATATCGATATAAAATCTGCCTCCAAATTGCTAATATTAGTGACCAATAAACCAATGAAGGTAACAGCCAACAGACCCCAAACAATCACATGAATACCTGCGCTCACTTTGTTAGACATGAGGCGCACATACTGCATCGGTTTGGCAATTTTGAAATACCTGTCTAAGGCAATAATAGCAGAATACAAAAAATAACCATAGGCTAAATCTAGAAGCGCGCTTGCAAACAGCAACACCGATATTTTTGGGAAAGGTGTGTTTATGTCGTGGTGGATTTGCATCAGATGCACAAGGATGCTACCACATTCAGTGACAAATAAACTCACCAAGAAATAATTGGAATGGTTTCTGAGTTTGCGACAGAAAATGATAGAGAAGATAAGCCACAAGTAGATAAGACAGTAGATCGTTCCCAATACAGTCATAACCACCATGAGTATAGTTGGCAGTGATAAATCAAAAGGAGCAGGGGTTGTTAAACTTGAATTGTTTTCCTCCATTTTGATTTAGCTCAACCGAAATGTCCAGAACTCATGTTCAGTATTCAGACTTGTTCAATTGTCTGACTTCAAACTTTCCCCACATAAGAGTTGTAGATCAAACGTTGAAAGCTCATCTTGAAGCACAGGTAATATCTGTCAAATCAAGTTCATTGAAATCCATGCACATGTCGTCTTACATTCCAATGAGTGATGTGACATAACGTGGGATTTCTTGTTTGAACAAGGGAGTGGTACGAACAGTGTTTGTTTCAGACTAATCTTCACTTGTTAGCCCGCGTTGACTGCACAAACTTTGAAGTGATTCCCTACCACTGGAAGGAGTTGGCTACCCTTGTCATACATCAAATCAAACCTCAGCGTGACACATTCTTGATATTTCATTCAAATGAGTCCCACTTGGTGACATTCTGTGTCATATTTTGGTCAGGTCCTCAGACTTGGTTGTCCCTTCTTCAAGTTGAAAGAATCCTAGTGCTTGCTCCTTATTTAGTAGCACAGGCACCTTGTAAGATGCTTGGTCGCTTTTCTCAACCTATTCTACAGGCATCATCACAGCTTGCTTGTGGAAGTCAGTCAGAAGCGATGACGACGTCTCCACCCATGGTAAAATTATTCAGATGTATTGTCAGCCCGTCGGTGACTCCACTTGTGACTGTGCAGCCCAAGCTAAGATGCCCAAGGCCCACCAAAGGACGGACAGGGGATTCCTTCACTTGATTGGGGCGGGATGGGTTAGTGGCAACATTGACAGACAAGGACAAAAGTCAACAGCATATGTACTCGGGCTCTAAATTTGTCCCATGTCATCATCATTAGCTGCATGCACACCCGGCGGACACAAGCCTTCCCCATTTGTCTCTGTTTTGGGCTAGTCTTCAGATCTCCAGCGGAGAAAGCAATATCCTGTGACAATAATCTAGCGCTGGGTTAAAGTAGGCGCTGATGAACTTGTCTGCGTCGGCCGTGAGATGGGGAGTATAGAGCATAGATGTTAACTGGCTCATCAATAGGCGTCCAAAGGATGTGACCAACCCATCTGAGTTGTCGTTTTTGGATGGTGGGTATGGATGTTGCTGACTGATGTTGTACAACTTGGTGTTGGTAACCTTGTCAAGACGTTTTATGCTGAGTATGATCAGGAGGCAGTTTGTAAGATACCGGTAGCTGTTATAATATGCAGCAAGGGACTTGGTGATGGCCCATGTCTTTACAGGTCACTGCTGATGAAAGTTGCATGTTGCACATTTTCCACCGCCTTGCAGTAGTTTTACTGTCTTTTTCCCAGAGGTGTCCGTGCAGTGCGATATGTCTTCCAGCATACAGGTTCGTCCCCTTGCTGTCGTCCATCGTATAGTCTGCCTCATTTTCAAATCAACCACAATCTGCAAGAGAGATGCAGCCAGATGTCTTCTTTTTCCATGTCTGTCTGGTTTTTTCTGCACCTTGAGTTGCCTTTATATGCTGCAGCGCATCCTTTTCTGTGGGATTTGGAATTCAATCAAAATTAACTACCATCGGCCCCAATAAAAACTGAGAGTGTTTACAGGTTGCCTAGTGATGCTAACTCTCCAGTGTCATATCAAGGCAAGTCACTGTCAGCTTTGATCGAGAAGATGATTGCGTTTGCCTCTGGAATTACCGACATTAATACAGTAGGAAGGCAAGACAGCAAGACGTAATTAGTGCCAGAGGCATAGTCTAAGCATGTCAACAGGGAAGGGGGGGGGGGTGTCACTAGAATGGTGGTGACACCCCCACCCTATTATTAATTTTTGTTGAAAAAATTGTTGTTCTGTCAGCAGAATGTGTGTCACCATATTAAATTTGTCCGCTTTTAAAGGTAGAGTACATCATTTGGGAATTTCTGTATCACTCTCATTCAGCCGATTGCAGCTACCGGTACGTGATGTCACACACTGAACCAATGAATTATAGCAACCGCGTGTGCGTGTGTGTAGTGTCAACCCATGCCCGCACCCATTCACGGCTTCGCCTATTAAATTCAAAATGAACTACTAACCAAAATTTCCAAAAAGGTGTAACTGGTCACATCTTAGGAAATGATTTTCGTTTGATGTTTTCTTCAAAATGACAGCATGCCAGAAAGAATTGTTTTAACCGAAAGCCCCCTCAACTAAAAAGTGTCCCATATCTACTATCATCAAAAAAGTCTATCTTCCACAAAAAAAAACTACCTTCATCAAATTTGCTTGAATATTTAAACAAAGGTAACGGTACCAGGAGACCAAAAATGAATCCTCTAAAGATTTCAGCTCGCAATCGTCCGTATCCAGTGAGAAAAAAATACCTATGATTTTAACCAAATTTGTCCCCAAAACTAAGCAGTAAATTTGGCGATCGTGTATCTACGGCCCGGTTCCTATAAGGGAACAAAATCCGCTTTTAAATTATTTGACCTACCAAACTAGTTGGCGACATTAAGAACAGTAATGTCATAGATGAAGGGCAGGGTTTTGACTTTTGAGGGAAATTTTGGGGTAAAACGACGATGACAACGACAAAACGCAACACGAAAATAAATGTGCAAGACGCGCTGAATCGTTCGGCACCAACCGTAAACTGCGCTGGAAAAATCATAATTTTTACCCCAAGAAACTGTTCAAAATTTCAAAAAAGGTGTCATTATATTGAAGAAGTCTGTTCTGGGTTTAAAAGGTCATATTTGAGTAATAAAAAACACCTTTGACTCTAATTTTATCAAAACTAAACAGGGACCATACTCTACACGATCGCTGTAAATTTCCATACCTGCCATAATAAAAAAAGTCAATTTTTGCCCCAAAAATCTAACTTTATCAAATTCACTTGAATGAACACTCAAGATGACTAGAGGCCAGAAATGAATTCCCTGAAGATTTCAGCTCACTACAGTCAACCTACCCAGTGCGAAAACCTAAATTGATGGTTTGAAACAAACGCCCCCAAATCTAAAATGTTTTCCATATCCGGCATCATACAAAAAGGTCATTTTTGACCGCAAAATCCAACTTCACCAAATTCACTTGAACATGATATGTATAGGGAAAAATGGAAGACAGTCCTAAATAAATCCCCTGAAGATTTCAGCTCACTACCATGACCACAGTCAGTATCCAGAAAAGACATAAATTTATAGTTTTACTAAATGCCTCCATTGTGTTTGTGTTGGCCATATTGGAAAACATAGCGAGCGAATCAGGAAGACCGTTCGCCTTCAATTCCTGTTCTTAAAAATTCGATCATAAAATCACCCAACCATATACATTTAACCTACCTGTATGTAGGGGTTTGGTATGTCGTCACATGATTGTGACTTCGTTCTTCCTCTGCCTTGTTGTTGATCACTTGTCGAAGATGGCGCCAGACAAAGGGGTGGCATTTGCCTCAGTAGGCTTTAAGTTCTCGTAAATGAAGCACCTGTTTTTGATTACTTGCTTCTCGGAAGGTGCGAGGCGCCAGAGTAAGTGATTACTAGTGGCAATACCGGTGTGCACGGCAGGAAAGCTTTGCTTGGTGTTTTACGGGCACCATCGTGTCTTGGCCTTCCAGAACAATTTTGGCCTTCTCTATGACGCAGGGGTCCAGGTACGGTTCATTCAAGAAAATGGCTCGCTTGTCCATACATTCTTGCCACATGAACGCATACCCTCCAGATCCCTGTGTGACTTCTCTGATGCGGATGGCGAGTTCTTGCAGGGAATGGATGATGCATCTTCTTCCCGCATCTTCTTCCCAACCAGAGCGATGCAGCTTTTCTTTGCGACTTCTCTGTTCATGTTTTTTTCGATGTCGCTGAGAGAGAAATTGAGGAGCACTCCTTGGTGTTCGCACCACTTGGCAATCAGCCAGCTGGATTATTCGAAAGAGTGGTAGCTTGGTGAATCAACATCGTTGATCGTTTCCCAATTTGCTTCTATAGTGCCTCGAGGTCAAGATCGTGAGCCTTCATCTGTGTTTACGCGTTTTGCCAAAGCAATCCCGCAAATTGGTGGCGGTTCCTCTCTTTGCCGCTTTGTATTTGGTCATTTTCTCAATGGCCTCCAAGGATGGTACGAACTTGAACATCGGGTCTTTGTCTTCTTGGTTGCGGGGCAAGTTTTCGTCTATGAGACGACAGGGCGCTGAGGGCGGTTGGTTTTCATGTTGCGGCTGAGGGTTTTAGTATGTAGCTGTCTCCCCGGCGGGCAGGCTTACCACCAGCAGGTGCAGGTGTTTGCCCCTGACCTTGCATGCGAGGCCGCCATGACTTGGATCGTGCTCGTAGCATACCCACTGGTAGTCGCCGAGATCCTGCTTGATGGAATCCAGGATGAGGTTGACTGGTACGTCGGCGTGGGGGTTGATCCGGGTGATGATCACTCCCGTTCTGTAGGTGTGTGGCCATTCCTGAGCAGGCTTGGCCTTCTTTGCATGGTGTAAGCCAGCATCGTCTCGGTGGTCGAAGTCCCACTGACGCTTGTTCATTCTGGCAGATATCATTGTTTGAGCCCTGTGTACAAAAAACCATAGAGAAATAAAATGACGAGTCGACGAGCTAAAAAAAACAGAGTTAATTCCGCCATCTTGGATTTTTTTTTATCATAGCGGAGTATGTTTTCAATGATATAAAATCTGTGTGTTTTGGGCTCGTACCGGTAGACTCGTCGATGCTGTTGCGCCGTAAGCACACGAAAACCAGTGTCATTACAGCAACAAAACCACCGTCTCCAGTAGTGGCGCCGCAGGCTCGGCCTGCGCCGTAGGTGCTGAAATATTTAGGGTGTGGTCAGTCAGAAAAGAGGGCGTGGTCAATAAAAAGGGCGTGGTCCTTTTGGTATGGCGATAAACCAGTATCATTACAGCAACACCACCACCAACTCCAGCAGCGGCGCCAAAGGCGTTTCAAAATCATTTGCTTGACATGGTGTTGATGTTGTTACCACTGATCTCCATTACAGACTGGATAGGACATCGCACCGTGTTTGTGCATGCATGCGCGGCCACACAATGGCGGCGCGTTTCTGTCAGACACGTAAACACATATTCAGTTTATTTACTTTGGAAAGTGGATTATTCAATATTGAGATATTTTTTTATTGGTAATCCTTACTTTTAGGACACCTCTATTTTGTATGAGTTCTGTTCAAACTGACTTGCAGATAACTGTCCAGTACCAAAGTGACTTTTGCAGGCTAAAGAAGTCTTTTTTCTTCAGACAAACTCATGTTAGTTGTAATAGCGAAAGCACTTTCAAAGAAAATGTGACTTTCCAACCTTTTTTTGCAGTTCGCCATTTTGCTTTTAATAATATATTTTCTGTTTGTCATCGTCGTCTTTAACCCCTCATAAATCAAAGCCCTACCCTCTTTCTACTAGTCCGAGTAACTAGGACTCTACGGATCGCTTTTTAACATTTGGACATGGTCCTGACCACGTCCAAATGTTAAAAAGCGATCCGTAGAGTCCTAGTTACTCGGACTATCTTTCTACAAAATTAAGCCTGCTGATATTCAAGAGGTATCATTGCCAAATGTTCAAATGTGCCAAGAAATATCAGAATGTCACTTTTGATTGTCATTTTTGGTGAGTCTTTTGACCTTATATTGTTATAAGTTATATAGGAAAGGGGTCCTAAGGTAAGGATTACCTTTTATTCTTAATATCAGAAAGAGTTGAAGCGTTCCCCCCCCCCCAAAAAAAATGAAAGCTGTGCTGTAGTTGGTCAAGAGAATTAAAGCGCCCTAAGCGCCCTCAGTCGACGGCGAACGATGAGAGATGACCGAGTGCGAGACTCCAATGATCCTGGTGAACGAAATTCTGGTAAATTTCACTTTTTTGTTTGACATTGATTTCAACCCACCCTAGAGGTAGAAATCCTCATCAAGATAATACCTGTGAAATATTGAGAATTATCGGCTAGGCCTACAGTACAGTAGCTGGGATGATTCTAGCGTTATGTTTACGCTACGGGCTACAGCAACTTCAATTGGTCTTTCTGCAAGGTTTGTAAAAAAAAACCTTACACTTACAATTCTGGAAGTGCAGGTTGCAACATTCTTTCCTTTAAATTTTACTGTATACGCACCTGAAATATACGGCTGTTTTCGCCGTAGACACATCCTCCTCTCTCAACGATAATCGCTTACTCCCTCTGAAAAGGACAGACGTATCTTTGCAAGAAAACTGAGCTTAAAGTTGAACATGAAGTGTGCACGAAATTGACAGCAGCTAGCTAAACATCAAAACATGTGTGCCGCGGACGCCCTCAACGACCATTCCCGTCGTACCTCGGAGAAAAAGTTTTTCCGGAAACAGCCGAGACACTTTCGGAAGAACTCGGCCACACTCGGGTTTCCTTGCGCTTAAACTAGTAAAGGTTTCGTTTTTCCTTTTCCTGTTACCTTTTTCTGTTACCTTTTTTTCTTCTTTTTCTTCTTTTTTTGTTTTGGCAAAACGTTTTGTCATACTTTTTAATTGTTCGTGTTTCTGTTACATAAATAACGACGTTTTCTATTATTTGTTTCAGAAAAAGGCTACGAGTATAAACGGAAAACGTTTTATTGTTCGTTTTTTTCGGTATACATATTTTAAAAAGGAATACTGTAACTCAATACGTATTCCCTTTTCTTAATACAGATTCCAAAATGGTAAACGGTATATAAGGGGTTAGTTTTTTTTCCTTTCTCGTTTTACAGATTCAAAAACGGTCATTGGTATTAAAAGGGTTCGCTTTTCATTTTTCTTTTTATAGATTCAAAAACGGCGAACAGAAAAAGATTTTCATATTTCTTTATATAGATTCAAAATCAGCAAAACGGTAAAGGGTTCGTTTTTTTCTTTTTCCTTTTTACAGATTCATAAACGGTGATTGGTAAAGGGTTCATTTTTTCCTTTTCCTTTACAAAGGTTAACAAAAACAGTTAAAATTGTAAAGGGTTCGTTTTTCCTTTTTCTTTTTACAGATATAAAAAAGGTAATGACAAGGGGTTCGTTTTTTCGTTTTCCTTTACAAAAATTGAAAAAAAAAAACCAGTAAAACTGTACGGGGTTCGTTTTTCCTTTTTCTTTTTAAAGAAAAAGGAAAAACGAACCCTTTACATTTTTACTGCAAGTTTTAACAGATCACAAAACGGTACATGGTAAAGGGTTCGTTTGTCCTTTTCGTAATTTGATTGTAAAACGGTAATTGATTGGACGGTATGTACACGGATCATCGAAAACCTACAAAATAAACATGAAGGACTACGTTCGGAACAGAAAAAAAGCAACATGCTATGTGACAGAGTGGGCTGAATAAAATAAACATGTACATGTACAACTGACCAAGATTTAATGATCAAGATTTAATAATCGTAAAGTACGTCTTTAAACGCTGAACAACTTACAAAAAATGATTAAATTTAATATATACAATAAATTTACATATTTCCCTTGCATTGATAAAAATCTAATTTGTAGAATATGCGAAGACAAAGAAAAATCAGAATCTTATCTACATGATCATTATTCTGACGCTCAATTTGTGACACTAATTTGTGTCACACCAAGAATTGTATTATGACAAAAAAATAATAATCATATTGGGATATCATTTTTCATATCTGAACCACTGATAAACAAACTACAGTGAAATCTCGATAAGTCAAACTCTAACTCAAAACAACTGTAAAGTCAAACACAGAATCCATTCCCTTTGGTAGTATAACAATGATATACAACCCTGCTTATCTCAAAACTCTGCTTAAAATAAGTCAAATTTTGAACCTATTCCCTTGAAGTTTGACTTATCAAGATTTCACGGTATCGTTTTTAATAATACCAGTGTCTACTCAGCTAAAAACAAAACATGTAATGTTAAAAACCAGGAAGCAGAATTTAAAAATACATACAATTTATAGTGAATTTACGGGTTTTTTTAATGTAAAAAAAGAAAAGTCCAAGATTGGGTCATTGATTATCATGATCATCCATTTCATGGTTTCGTAGCTTCATTACAACAATATTTAAAAAAAAAAAAAAAAAAAAAAAAAAAAACATGCAAATACCAGACCAGTGACAATGTTACCAAAGGTCATGCAGCAATAAGTTTGAAATCTCAACCAGAACTGAAAACATCATAATTTAATTTTAAACACAATTATCATACTTTGGAAAATACTTGCAACAAAAAGCAACTGAGCATGGCACTCATTCCTTCGGCGATAACTAAAAAGTTACACATTTGAAGAAATAACATTAAAAGTACACTAAGCTATGATTTCTGAAGAACATAGTCCTATTCTTAATATTGGGTTTTTCCCTTCAATAATCCAATTCTTTAAAATAACGTTGATGTAGGCAAAAAACAAATATTTAAATTGATATCTTTCTAATGTAGAATTCTCCCGTACAACTTAGGCATAGTCCTTTTCTTCTGTTCTTAGTGCAGGCTTTCAAGCATTTCCAACAATAAAAACAGTATAAAAGTAGGACTTTAGAGGACAAAATAGGATAAAAGTAGGATTTTTGCTGGCTTTCAGGAGTACTTTTGTCGAAACTCACCCATGTCCACAGCATCATAAGCCTCATTTGGCATGTTCTGTACTCACAACACTTGTGCTCCATCCTCAACTAAGCTCTTGGACGTACAGTTGCAGTACTCCTGCACCCAAGCCCTTCATTGTGTGATTTACATATGACAGTGTGTAACACTGTTATTTAATGAGATTTCACTTTTCGGAGTTGTGGGACAAAATAGTAGGAACAAGTAGGGATTTCAAGAAAAAAGCAGGAAAAGTAGAAACAAGGTCAAAAAAAAAAAATTAAAAATTGGAAAAAGTAGGAATACTTGAAAATACCCCATTAAACCAAGCAGCACATAGCATTAATACTACAATGTGATCACTATTAATTAGCCACGGGTGAATGTAGTATGATAACATACAATGTATTTCAGTCCAAAAGTAGCTACTATTTTATGAAACAATGCCTTTCTATGTCCCCATTCTTTATACAACTGAATTATGATTATTGATGTGAAGGAATGAATATCACAAGGCCACCCCTTTGATTAAGTATGAAAACAAGAGCCCCAAGTTCTTGAAAACGCCAAATTTGCAGTGCTCTAGTACTCATACTCGGTACTTGTTCTTGAGTACTACTCAAGTGCTTTTTTTTAGAGTACTCGTACTCATACTTGAATGTAAAAGTTCTCGTACTCGAAATGACGGAACTCGTACTCAGGCAGCAAAGTAGAGGTACTTGCACTTGACATAGCGAAATTGTACTTGATCATCAAAGTACTCGTACTTGAATAGCAGTACTCGAAAAAAAAATGATATAGCTTAACTTCGTCCACGGCCTTATTTTAACTACACTTTCAGTTTGAAATGGTTGATTGGCTTGCGAAGAAATCGAAGTTTCCTGATTTTCTTCTGTGCACGTCCGGACAAACACATTTAAAGGTATAGTCCATCATTTGTAATTTGTGCATTTTGTTCGTTTGAAGCAACAAAAGTACTCAAGATCTAAAGAAGGGTGCTAAACAACTAACCTGATGCAGTTTCAGCTCAGCTTTAGCTGTATATTTCGAGAAAAACAGCATTCTAAGATCTCAATTTCAAATCAAAAGTTGCTGAATCATGTTTTGAATTGTTTTGAATTGCAACTATACGCGACGTCGCGCACTGATCCGACGAATTATAACAACCGCGCGCGCGTGTGCGTCGTTCGAATACTTGTGCGCGCTTCGCTGAATAACAAAACGAACTACTAATTTAAATTTTCCTACGGTGCTTCTTAAGAATCACCGTTGGAAATGCCTTCTTTCGTTGATTACTTCAAAATGACAGCTTCCCAGAAAGAATAATTTCACAGGGAGTTTAGTCCCCTTACTATCTTTCAACCAAGTTAGTTTTTCAACAATAATTACGCCAGTTACTTTTCGGATGGCTGCAAATGATGGACTCTACCTTTAATAGCTAGCCATGAGTGGGTCTGTATATTGGTCTGACTGGGCCTGGGCCAATTACGCACAATGAACCATTTGCCGTATGGCCGTATTCGGAAACAGAAATACTCGTACTCGTACTTGGAATACAAGTACTCGTACTCTAACTCAGAAGTACAAGTACTTGTACTCAAACTCGTACTCGGAAGTAAAAGTACTCGTACTCAGAGACCAGTACTTAGGTAACCTTAAGTATTTGGCAGTTCTCGGTACTCGGTAAAAAGTACTTGACAAGAACACTGTAAATTTGTTTCAAATTTGGTTAAAATTTGGTTTAAATTGCAGTCGACAATGCTTGGACGGCCCTAGGGGTTCAACTTGTGTGAGTGCAAACACAGACTAGTTTTAAGAGTTGATATTCAAGGGTCGTGGGTTGGATCCGGAGGTATCTGACTAAAAGCTTCGTAGACATTGGCAGCAAAATCCTTGACACATTTCATCAGCAGAAGTTCCTATTGACAAAACAACAACATTAGTTCACATTAGTTTTGTCTGTTTTTAAAGCCACTTACGATCATCTGCCATTACCCGAAAGGTACTAGTCAGTTAATAATTAGACAAATTGTCAATGCACACATACTGCGCGATGTGGCGCAGAATGCAGCGGTGCTGGTGTAGTGTGAAATTACACTGGGACACAGGTTAAGTGTTGACTAAACGTTTAAACGTTTAAACGCTACCGGAAAATTGTGCTAAACGTGTATCAAATTAAACGTAGATTCACATCCTTAGTGTGAATTTAGGACTATGAAATACGGACTCATTGGTAGTATTGCGCATGCCTAAGTGAGGATTGTGAAAGTTCAAACAAGGGTAAAATTGACCAGATTTCATAAGGGTCCAGATTTCATGTGACACTGGAAAGTTTTTAAGACCAGCCAGCCGGTGTTTCATCAACCGTTTAAGACCGGCCACGTGACAGGTTCTTGACCAATAGGAATGTTTTAACTGTCTAATAGGTATGTATGAATACAAATTAAATGCTAAAACATCGAACCATGTATCTTACCTGTATGTAGGGGTTGGGTGTGTCGCCACATATCGTGTTGATTTGGCTATTGATGACTGGAATGATTTTAGCAAGGGGAAGTTGCACACAGTTTGGTCTGTGAAATAAAAATAAAGTGTAAAACTCGAATTTCATTCATCCTCCTGGCGTCTGAACAGTAGGGCTGTGCATCGGAACCGGTGTCAGGAACCGGTTCCAGATTATGGGATCGGGTACCTGTAACCAATTTTACAAATTACTAAGTAACTTCTCAGACCTTGAAAAACTAAAATGTTTGCTTCCAATTATATATTTCCCTCATAATAACTAACTTACTACTTACCCAGACGCTAATGACTGCATGTCAGACTCTGTATTGGGTCTGAAGAAATTGGCCATGTTGTCGAGGACTCGGCTGAATCCAATATCAAGGCATGTGTTGAGAACGCTATGGAAATCCGAGCTGCAGGCAAAAAATACATAATAATGAATCATTTTTACACGTAACTGTTATTACTAGATAGTTATGAGCAATTTTCATGAAATTATCACAATTGTGTAGTATGTCAAGGGAATGCACACAAAAGACTTTGTATGATATATCTGACAATTGCTCTGAACTTTTTGTTTTAAATCACACCCTTCAACTTAAAAGCAAATTACTTCAATATTGATTAATTTATCGTTGTACGTAGAACCATTCTAAGTCACTTTTTTAATTGTTAGCATCTTACGTCCTATGATGTATTGTTAGTAATTTGAGTTTTGTAATGTCATGACGTCACATAAATGGCCAATTCTGAAACAATGAGAGCTAGTCCCATTGAACAATGCCACAGTTGTATCCTGCTGCATTCAGTGACCACGGACTCTGAGGCAGTTTGGCCTGCAGATTTTTGACCTGATGGATCTTGCTACACTGGGCAGGCTTGTCAATCTGACAAGTGTTGCATGTTGCTGCTTTTAGCAGGGATTCTAGCCAAAATACCCTGGACTTCAGGGTTCAGTCAAAGAAGTCACGTTGGAATTAAAAACACCTAACAACTTAAGTAGTTTTATATATTCCAATATGTGGACTGCAATTGTGCTAATGCCAAGTTGTAATACAACGTTTAAGGGACATCATACATGAAGAGTAGTCAAGGTGCTTCACGACCAGTCGACCACTCCTGAAAAATGCGAAGAGCACATTCATTGCATGAGAAGAACTGATTCGTGCGGATGTGGCGCAAAAATGTGCACAAGCCCGTAAAGTCTTAGTGCTCAAGTCCCACCTAGCTCTCTTTTTGTATAAACTAAGTAAGCGGTACTTGTGCATATTAAGTACCTGTGTAAAAAAGGGGCGTTGCCAGACCAATTTGAATGGGGGAAGTGTTAACAATTTGCTGTAAGGTAGTCTGGAATTGTTTTCCTGTCATCCTGCCACCGCAAAATCAAAGGGGAGAGGGGTGGCTGGACACCATCTGATGTATGAGGGCGCTGTTGGACACTATTGGACAATAGCTGGCACTTTTCACGAATTCATTTTTATCAACAGACACACGATTTTGCTAACAGAATGATGATTTTGCTGACAAAATCGCCATGTCAGCAAAATTGTGTGTGTGTAGAAATGACACATACCTCTCCAGCATATCTCTGGTCTCCAGCATGAGTTTGCTCATGATGAGTTGCTCTTCTAAGATCTGACAGGCAGAGTCTAGACCTGGATCATCTTCCTCCTCGATGGGCACCATGTACCTAACCAATGGATGAATGGTGCATTCGATTCCAGAGCCTTCCATTCCAGATAGAAAAGGAAACGACCCAAATAATCAATCACAGGTAAATTGAACATCCAGTCACAAGTAAATCACAAGGCAATTCACAAGTCCAGCTACAAGTAACAGGAAACGAACAATGACAAAGATATGTCTTTGCACAGTTAGTTGCAACAGTCTGGTCAACTGTTGCAGTTGTGATGGACTTGTGATGGACTTGTGATGGACTTGTGATGGACTTGTGATGGACTTGTGATGGACTTGTGATGGACTTGTGATGGACTTGTGATGGACTTGTGATGGGCTTGTGATGGACTTGTGATTGGCTTGTGATTGACTTGTGACTGACTTGTGATGGACTTGTGATGGGCCTGTGACGGACTTGTGATGGACTTGTGATTGGCTTGTGATGGACTTATGATGGACTTGTGATGGGCTTGTGATCTGACTTGTGATGGGCTTGTGATTTGACTTGTGATGGACTTGTGATGGACTTGTGATGGACTTGTGATGGGCTTGTTATTGACTTGTGATTGACTTGTGATGGACTTGTGATAGACTTGTGATGGACTTGGTGCTTGTGCTCTTGAGCAATGCACTTTACCATTATTGCTTGTCCTTTGGATGGGACGTAAAGAAGCCATAAGTCCCGTGTGTTGTGTAATGCATGTTAAAGAACCTAGTGAAACTTATCACTAAGAGAAGGGGTTTACCCCAGTGTTTCTGACAGTGGCTACAATATGTGCTACAGCACTTTGTAAACCCTTATAAAGGTGCAACATAATAAACTCATATTTCTCATTATCTTCATTTACCTGCGTTTAAAAACATACATTGAGTACTTAATTGTTAAGCGCCTGGAGTACCTAATTTTTAAGACTCCGGTATTATCATTTTTAAGCCTTTTCACAATAATTGGTAGGTTACATTTTGGATAGCTGAAAATGATGTACTTTACCTTTAAAATCTTCAAAGTTGCTGATATATATAGATGAATGTACCCACCTTGTTCGTCAAGTTTTGCTGCCTCAACCTGGCATCGTATACTGCTGATCAGCCTCTCAATGTCTCGCAAGCCTAGCTTCTTTTGCAACGGCATACTGTTCAAAATAGGATATTAAAACCATTGTGCTATGAAAGAGAAGGGTATGGCCAGCCAAGTACAACTTTAATAGGATATGACAATATCAAATGAAGAAATGAGAAAACTGTAAAAAAAAAAATTAAAAACAATTTTTTTTTTTAAAAGAGAAGAATTTAGTAGATACAATGGGAGGGCATATGGGAGGGAGTCGTATGTTTCACTTGTACCCACCACCTAAACAGGGCGCTGAGAAGTGCTAATCTCTTTCTCAAAATTTTGTAAAGGAAACACAGGTGTTGCAAAGCATTGTGGGATTTTACTGCCTCAAACACTGCACATACATTCTGTGTGCACATGTCATGCGCAGGGGGAAGTGTTGACCCAATACTGTTCAAACAAATTCTATTCAATGGGGCTCGAAGAAATTATGCTCTGCATCCCGAAGAAATTAGCCCTTCCCAGCATCCTGGAAAAGGGCGGTGGGTATGAGCGAAATTGCATGAATGCACAAGTTCATCTGTGTGTGGTGCGAAATCCACACAATACATTTTACTCTGAATGCCAACTAACCTGTATCGTATGGCGTAAGGTGTCAATGACACTAAGTCTTTCCTACATGTTACCCTGTCTTTGTCACCGTGTAAGGGGGGGGGGGGGGTGTACTTGTACACAGAATTCATTGTTGACTTACCTGGCAAGGACATTCATGACAGCTTCCTTGACTGCAGACACCAAACAGGACATACCTTTCAAAATCAAATATACCACATGTGGATAAATATCTTGCACTTTTGCGTAGGAAACTTCATAGCTGAAAAATATTCACCAGTCAATTAGGTAACTATTCAATGGAAACAACTGAAAGTGTCCACTGATTCTAGTAATTAAACACCTCAATCTCAATGTACATGTACATGCATACTAAGCTCGAGGGTAATACACAACATTTGCTTTTGTTGTAATTCTCAGAAATTGATGGATTTGGGGGTTAGTATTTTATAGCAAATTGTTACACCGACCTGTTGAAAGTTTTGTGGTCACAGATGCTGGGAAAATCAAACAAAAAATGCTGTTCTTATAGTCTGGTTCCCTGATTCTACTTCAGACAAGAAAAAGTAATTTATAGACGTCGGGGTACTGTCAGTTCAGGGAACTAGACTAGCTGGCTTTTAACTGATTACAAACAAAATGTGGACTAACTAAATTTGGTAAATTGGGGGCAATAAGTGAAAAAAAAGTTGGCCCACCATCATTGGAAATTGATACAAAAATTTTACTTTTCTTGAAAATGACAGCGCACCAGAGATATGCACCTACCATCAGTCAGAAGGTATTGTACGTTGGACAGATATCTTTGCTGAACCTCTGGTGTTGCTAGTGCTCTGTCTTTGTTCTAGACAATAAAAAAAAAGGCATAGATGTACTTCATTATGAAAAACTATGCAGTATTGTTGATGTACCCTAATGTGGCTCCTAACTCGGTGCAGTCAGGCGCACTTTGATTTTGCACCTCTAGTGCCTTGCTAGAGCAAAAGTTTTACCTCAAATTTCACAGTAAGTGAAATGTCATCAATCTCTAAACATTCCGTTCATAAATCCTGAGTTTGTCGTACCCGCTATTAAGTTCCAGAGAAATTCTATTTTGGTTTGATTTTCCAATTTTATTTTGAAGTCCACAATGAACCTTTTAATATGCGCCCAAAATGAAGAAATAGTTTTCCGACAAACTTGCAGTTGGGTATTAGAGTGGAGATAATGATTTATCAGAATTTATCACCTCTAAAGAAATTCTTAAATGTTAACGTGGGATTTCCTGCGATTAGGAAAAACTCGGCCGAATTTGTGCCCAATTTCCAGATGCCACCGTTTTTGAATTTCGGACTAAATTTCACAACACTTAAATTGTTCACAAAGGTTCAACAGCAAGCATTATTAAGGCAATAGTACCGGTATTTAACTGAATGAATTTGAAGTTTGTCAACAAAGAGGTTTGGCAACACTGCATGAGGCAAGTCAAGGGAAACGTCAAAGTGCACCACGTTAGGGGACTCCATTATATTTTTATAAAATAATCATTAGGCCTATTCTCTCGAAATATAGTCCTGGCACAGTATAAAGTTGACTGTTGTTTATGCTTTCAATTTTAAAACCAGATTAATTTCATATTGTGTTTTGCCCTCTGCCGAAGTATTTTATAGACACTGCATACTCAGCATTTTCACGAGTGATAGTAAGAAAAAATTCACAAGTTCACTTGATCCCACGACTTCCTGCTTACAGACGTCTTACCACTCAACCACTGAGCTTACAGGGGTCAGCTGGCAGGTTTGAGTCTGATGTAACAGTGGATACCGCAGTTTTGCGATTCACTGACCTATTTTATAAACACTGTATACTCAGCGTTTTCTGAGCGCTTGCGAGAAAATTCACGAGATTACTGTTACAACTACAGTGCACTTTTTACTCATCCTGTACTTTTAATCAATTGGTTTTTTTCATGCAAAAACTTACCACTCCGTTTTTCTCAGGTACGGTATCCAGATACATGTAACCGCCGATGATGTTGAGTTGAACTCTGAGGAAAATGACCAGCATTGCTGTACTGTAGACCGACGATATTGTGCGGCAGAAGCCTATGTAGTGTGAATATAAAGCACATGACATCAAAACACAAATTTTGAAGTCAGTTAATAATAATAACTACATGTAGGTGCTGGTGGTTTTCTTCAACCATGTTTTATTCGCATAATACGAGATATTAAGTTCCAGCATAATTTATATCATCGTCAAAAACTGATCACAATATTATATTAAACTGAAGAGAATCGTATTTTTCTACGTCGCCGTCAGCATTCGGTATGAATCCTTTATCAATTTTTAATTCGTGTTTTTACATTCAGTTTTCCCTGCAATCGTGTTTCCTTCAACTGAATTTTTAACAGGCTAGTGCTTGCGCACTAGCCTTCCTAAAAAAATAAGTTGTCCCAATATCCATTAATGTTTTTGATTAACTTCTGCATTGAAAAAAAAAACATCGCTATTTCACTTGCCACGTATCAAAACTTTTCGCCGCTCGCGCTCGCGAACATTAATCTCTCAAATAAACCCCAATATATTTTGGGCACGCATGTTCGCCGACTTCGCGTTATTATAATAAGACGTCCAAGTGCTGTGAATTATTCAGTACGAACATTAACATAACAATTGCGCAGGTTTCGTGACTACCTCATTAACTTGACCACGGATGGATGAGTAGCTCCGCGAAGTTCGCGCTCTGCTCTAAGATATTCGCGAACATTTGCGAACAGTTCGCGAAGTCAATTTTGAAGCCTGCCCTTACCCGGCTTTGGCCGTTCGTAGGATGCAGAGAGTTGCTGGATGTAGTGATTGATTACCATGAGAAGTTACTATACCTCATACATATTCATGATCGAGAGCCGAACTCTCACTGGTCAATTCACCATCACGTGCCAGATGTTATTCTTGCTGTTTACCAAAAGGTAGGATTCACGCGCAGGCTAAATACGCATGCGTAGTAGACTGTCGCACAGGTTACCCATGCTACAGTCTACCACGCATGCGCTTTACAAAGCAATCGAGGAACTGTTGCACGGGTGTAGTACGCACGCGCAAACATCACCCAAGAGAGATGCTTGGTTGCATGGTTCGCGTAAATTATATAATTGCCGGACTGGAGAAAATTTATGGACAATAAAGATGCCTCCTGTACAAAACAAAGTTGTACACAAACAACTCTATTTACAACTGTAGTTACTGTTTTGCAAACAAACCGAACTAGTGAAGTTGAGCAACAATATTCTTTTGGTGAGCTGTACAAGTTTCTCTGTAAAGTTGGTTTCAGGTGTACAATTATATATTAACAAAATCAGCAACTGAATATGTATGAGGTATAGTAAAATAAATATAACATGGTTTATTTCGGGTGGATATTAGAAGTTGACAAACTAGTTCCCGAAATCGGTGCTCTTTTTGTCATCATTTTGTATCATACAGACCCATTTGAACAGCGACCTCTATAGTTATATTGGTGTGTAGCTTAGGCACAAAAAAAAGTCTCCAGTTTCTGGTATGCACGCGCGTCGCCGTAGCCATGCACGTCGGCAAAATGAAAAAGTTTTTTTTTCAATGAAAGATGATGTCTCATAACCGCCAAACTCACTGGTTTGACTGGAATCCTGCTGCTGCACAATTTTAACGTGTTTTTAGATTGGGTTATGGTCGAGAATAATCTTTATGTGGCCTCTCTGGACTCCCATATATTTGCACTAAGTTTAGTCGGGCACCATTTGCAGTCATCAGCCGACATTTGAAGCAAAAAATCAGGTAAAAAAAAAAAATGCTGCATCGCCACACCACTTTTTGGGCAAGCTCCATACCAGAAACCGGAGACTTTTTTTTTGGCCTTAGGAGTTCCCTTTTCAGATGTAATCACAGCGTGTGTGTGCGTATGCGTGTGTTTACAATGTACGTGCATGAATGTATACATGTACACACGCTGTACGTACGAGAGAGGACCCCCGGGTCGCGATCACTTAACAAACGTTGAACAAATCTACAACTTCTGAGAATAAGCCCGGACAAACGTCCAAACAAACAGAGATTTGCGTATTATCATAAAGATTAAGCGTATTTATAGACAGCACGTATCCACCATTATTGGTGCTCAAGGCGCTACGTCATTATTACGTCCATCACATAGGATGAACAATCACAAAGAAATGCCCTTGTCACAGTTAAATTTGACTGTTCTTATAAATGTTGATCCCTGATCAAAAAAAAAGAGGTCAAATTCTACCTTTTGTAACCTAACCAGTTCACGCCGGGATTATTTTTGACAAGAACGAAACAAAACGCGGGATTTCTTTTCCCCTGACCTGAAGCCAGGTTGGTTGAAGCCATCACCCTCGGGCACACACTCATATTTCCGGCCTCACTCACTGCGTGTTTATCCGTCATCCATTTCAAATACCGCAAAAACCTTTGCGGGTATACACGTCATCTGGCGCGAACTGGTTAACTACAAATGAGTATGTTAGAGTTACTTACTGACAATCTTCAGTTCATTCCACAGATCAACTTTGTTCTCTGGCCTAAGGAAAACAGGAAAAAAACCAATAAAACAGCAATTGGGCACATTTTCAGGTGGTTACAGGTTACACTAAATCTACTGTACACATAATTTGTCCAAATCTAGCCTTTCAAACAATTACACATGTACATGTAACCCTGTGTGCTGTAGCAATGTACACATGTACCTGTTACACCTCAACTATGCCATCAGGCCCTAACTTAAAGTAAGTTTGGGCAGTCTTTACTAAAGGGTTGCAGTTGGGCCAGCCCATAGTTGGGATGCTGGTACTTTGTGTTTACATATAGCACATTAGATTGCAAGCTTTTACTTTATTACCACGCCATGTCTGGCACACAAGCTGCAAAGTGCCAGAGAAACTACTTGTCTGTAGAACTTTACAAATTTTGCGACATGGACAAAGCGGTAAACAGACACGTTTTTGGTGAATTCTGCTGTGAAAACAGTGCTAGGTCCAGGACAACAGATACATGTAGTTGGGCCGGCTCAAATTTAACACTTTAATTGGGAGGATCACAGCTTTAGTGTGGAATGCCGTGGCCTCGTGGTCTGGAGCTTTGAATTTGTGGTTTGTGATAATTCTGCAGGTTGTGGGTTCGAGTCCAGCCTGGGGTTATGGTGCATGTGCCCAAGGCACTTTGTCACTCATTGCTTCTCTCCACCCAGGAGTAAATGGGTACCTGCTAGGGCAGAGGTGGTTATTGTGGTTGATTTTAGCTTTTCACCTGAACAGCAAATTTTTGTTTTCACTACCCAAATTTCCTGAAGAATGTTCTGGTCGGTCGTACAAGTAGGTGCAGAATTCTCATGCCTTATTATGGCATTACTGAGGTCACCTCAAGCTCCACAGTAAGGGATATTTTTTAGAGTTTTAAGGCAATTGATGTGTCATCTTCAACATCAGCCAGCATATGAAGAAAAAAAGGGGGAACCTGCGGCGCTGCACCACTTTTGGGACAAGCTCCATGTACCAGAAACCAGAGACTTGTTTGGTAGTATCGAAAACGAAGACCCCTAAAATGAAGACCGAAGGCCCACTCAAAAACAAAAACCCCATCAAAAACGAAGACCCACTTGAAAACACTTCGGTCTTTGTTTTAGGGGTCTTCGTTTTCAAAACAACCAACTTTTTTTGGGCCTATTGGTCCGTAGCATCTAAATCTGAAAGATTAAGAAAAGCAGGATAGCTCACTTGTGATTCAAGCCCTGAATGATCCTTTCCGAATCCAACATGTGTCTGATTGCGTCTTTCAGCTTAGGAAGCATGGACAGCACCGTCATGTTGCAGGTGCGTTGATTGCTATCAAAGTGATGCTGTCTCCTTGCCATGGCTAGACATTCCTCAGTCTCTCGATCTCTCCACTGCTGCAACTTCCATTCTCCATACTTCCAAAGTAATACAGCACCTACAGAGGAAAAAAAGAAAACAAGATACATGAATGGACTGTTTTTCAACTTTATTTTTTTTTTTTGGTTACTTAAAGGGAATGTACATCATTTGCTTTTGCTGTAATTTTCAGAAATGGATGGAATTTGGGGGTTGGAAATATATAGCAAATATAGTTACACTGACTTTTTTGAGGTTTTGTGTTCAAAAATGCTATAAAAACCAAGAAAAACAATCATTTTCCTGTAGTCTGGTTCCCTGACTCCATTTAAGAAGAAACAGAGCAGTTTACATACATTGGGGAATTGTAAGGTCAGGGAACCAGTCTAGCTGGCTTGTACCCATTCATAGGTGTGTAATCGATTGCAAACAAGTGCGATGGTCAATTGGGGCCAGTATTTGAAAAAAAGCCAGTTTTTTCCAACGCTGGTCGGCCGATCAGCGTTGGAAATTGATACAAAAATACCACTTTTCTTGAAAATGACAGTATACCAGGTGCCATGATTTTAAAGGATGCTTTACACTGTCATTCACTAACAGTCCAGCAAGGTATTTCAAAATGATTTGGTAGTTTTATTTTTTGATGTTTGCAAATGTTGTATTTTCCCTTTAAGAAGGCCAAGTAATTTGGGCATTACAACTTGACTAATCTGAAAATTTGGGACTCTCGATACTGTGAATGAGAGTTCCAAAACTTAAGGTATTGAAAACATGCAATACAAGAAAATAAACTAGCACATGAAACAACCAGTCCAGCAACTCTTTAGTGCTGCATCCATCAATTGTGTCAAAATAAACATCTAGTACCGGTCTCTATTTCTACACATCTCTCAACAGTCATGCCACCAGACTACTGAAGAGTCAACCTTTCCAAAAAGTTGGACATGCACCAGTCTAGTCTTAGGCTTCAAATTGAAATCACTTGGCTTCACTCTCAGGTGCAAAATGTTGAAGAAAAGGAGTCTTTAAAAATTGAATTCAGACCTCAAACTTGGCTGGTGAAATACTGAGGACCTTGTCTTTGCCTCATGAATGAAAATTTTGGAGAATTTTGTCAGCTCAAGAATGAGAACTTTGCCTGATTTTGTTTTGCATGTTTTTCTGCCATCGAGGACCCAGTCTGCAACGTATGTTGCATCCTTGTAATTTCTACAGGATATTTTGAGACAATACATTTCTTTCCACAAAAATTTTAACTACCCAATTTTCTCCTCTTGGTGAAATTTTCCCCTACATTTTCATCCAGAAGCTGCCCCAGAAAGTACCAACAATTAAAAGGCAAATTTCTACAAAAGAAGACATAAGGTAGTTGCAGACTGCAGCTCTCGAACTTGAAATTTCTCTTTTCCTCCAAACTTCTAACGGATCCTGAGGGGCGTATTTGGGATTATGGTGTTGTTTTGGGGGTAAAATCTGATAGTTTTCATTGGTTGCTATGTGTTAATACTGTTCAGCACTCCAGACTCAAGCACCATTGAGTTTCAAGAGCATAGGTCTGGGAGCTAGACAAGCCAGTGTAGTACGGCAGATAGTTTAAGTTGCACGAATTGTGCCTTTGAGGTTACAAGCACGGCATTTGGCACACAGTCAGAGTATGTCATGAAGATATTTGGTTATGTATGGCCATCGCAGATTTGTCCTTTGAACAATGTAGGTAGAAATAAGAATAACAAGCAATGCCACCATTGCTTGGTTTATGTTACCTAGATTTTTTCACAGAACAAATTTGTGTAACCCTGTCAGCAAAATATCTTTCTTAGGACATACTCTGACTGTGTGCCAAATGCCATGCTTGTACATGTATCATCAAAGGCACAATAACCCAAAATACCAGTATTTACCATATCTGCTCAGGCACTCTTTCAAGGTTGATGTAGTTCTATAGTTGTACATACAACCCCATTCAAGTAAACTTGCTTTGGTAAAGAACATAACCTCAGTTGACTGTGTTTTATTGGGTTCACTGCACAAATTCTATCACAGTACATTTATGCTGTCATTAGACGGCAAATTCAACACCGAAGCTACATGTACCAGGTGCGAACAGTTAGGCCTATTTGCTGATTGGATTGAATGCATGGGATTCAATATATTGCAAAACCAACATTTCTCCCCTACAACTTTCAAAACGTTCTGCTCTATCTGTGATTTTTCTGCACAAACAAATCGTCTTCAACTTGTTAAACATTCTGCTTTGACCATGGATCGAGGATCTTGCTTGCTGTATCTGTTCATGTTGTGTGTTTGGTGCTCTCTGGATACCAGTCCACACGTCGGAGTTAATGGACAGGAAACTACACAATCAGGCACTATTGAGCAGCCGATGTCCACTTTGTCTGAACCCTCTGAAGAGCCGCCTTATCCATGTACATGTACCGATCGCAATCCTCAAGCATCTCCCGTTCCTTGGATTGCATTCGCTGTTAGCCTCATCCTCTTCATTATCTCTGTAATGATCAACATCTTCTTCATCATCAGACAATGCCATCTTAAGAGTCCCATTGAGAAGAAAGTCAGAGCACCAAAAGCAGATCCTTACATGGCGCTGAAGTCAAAGGAGGAGCAGAACAGAGACTATGCGGGACTTGAAGCACAAGGGGCATCTACTGAACAGCACATGTACTACCAGGAAGTTGCATCACCGAGTAATAACCAAGACAATGACTACGAGGAGATGAAAGTGAAATCTACTACTGAATATGAAGTGGTGGGAGTGTAAGAATAGAAGACAAGACGAGAATATCTATCCAGAACCAGCTTCTTGTAATATTCTTTGGTAGTGGGATTATTTAACTTAGAAACATCAATCATAAATACCTAAGATACCGGTATGTAAGACAGATTACCCATTCCTATTGGTCGAGGGCCCGTCACATGGCAGGTCTTCTGCGGATGATAAAGACATGGCTGGGTTTTTACTCACCCTGTATAGCACTAGCACTGTGCAAATGTTAATGAATGTTATTGGCTAAAGAGTCCAATGATGTCAAAGATATTTGTATTGGTTTGACCTTAATTTATGCGCAAATTAAAACATTCCAAGTCAGGTGAACTTCAGTACATGTAGGTGTGAATTGTGATCTAAAATTCAAAAAAACTTAATAGCATCTGATGAGTAAAATTAGTAATGGCGTGTGCACTTGGTTGCATTCAAATTGTTTCTATTTTTGATCACATTTTTTCTTTAAATTTTCAGACGTTGGAGTGAAGATCAAAATTTAAGCATTATGGCATGTTCAACTTACACAGAGTTGTAGGATTTGTTGCTATTAAACAGGGATGTCAGTGGATTTTGACAACATTCCCTAAAATTTGAGGTGTAAAATAAAGCTTAGAAACATGTATTGCCACTATGTTATTTACACAATTTGTAAAAAGTAGCAATTTAAGCAATTGCAAGATGACTCACATCCATGTAAAAAGTGGTCACATGCTTGTAAATATCAGACTGTATGGGCTCCGTGCGCCAACAAAAGAGAGCGCCCTTTTACCTACATGTAGTAACGACATCCCATGGGCGGGAAATTTAGCTGGTTGACGCGCACCGTTCCTTGTGTGTGATGCACGTACGTACACCAAGGGATTTGTACTGTTGAGGCAAAATTGCAGTCAGGCAAGTGGGCGTTGGTCGGTCACCCCCAACTGTTCTCTTTTTGCCGGTGAGGGGGTACTTGTGAACAGAGCGGATACTCATGGCAAGGTTGGAAAGTTAACTTTAAGTGAGAAAATGTTAATTGTATCATACATGAGTGACCTATGTTATTACCGCTGATGTAAGCATAATGAACTCTAATAGCTTTAAAGATGTAATTTTGCATTTAATTTTGTAAATGTTTAGCAAATATTTTCAGAACTGTTTAAATGTTAAAGGGAATATACATCATTTGCTTTTGCTGTAATTTTCAGAAATGGATGGAATTGGGGGGTTGGAAATATATAGCAAATATAGTTACACTGACTTTTTTGAGGTTTTGGGTTCGAAAATGCTATAAAAACCAAGAAAAACGATCATTTTCCTGTAGTCTGGTTCCCTGACTCCATATAAGAAGAAACAGAGCAGTTTAAATTCATTGGGGAATTGTAAGGTCAGGGAACCAGTCTAGCTGGCTTGTACCCGTTCATAGGTTTGTAATCGATTGCAAACAAGTGCGATGGTCAATTGGGGCCAGTATTTGAAAAAAAAAGCCAGTTGTTTCCAACGCTGATCGGCCGATCAGCGTTGGAAATTGATACAAAAATACCACTTTTCTTGAAAATGACAGTTTACCAGGTGCCATGATTTTACAGAATGCTTTACACTGTCATTCACTAACAATCCAGCAAGGTATTTCAAAATGATTTGGTAGTTTTTTTATGTTTGCAAATGTTGTATTTTCCCTTTAAGCCATTTCACAAAGGCTGAACCTTCCCACATATGTGTGTAGTCAAGTGTGTATACATATAGGCCAATACATGTACATGAAAACATGTATGTGCATCAGTAACAATCTGTATCTGTATCCGTTGCTCCAGCTAAACGGTAGAATCCGCATCCCGCTAGAGTTGGGGCGGCTGTGCTGGAGCTAGTTAACTTGGGTTTTGGTTCCCTCCCCGATGACGTGGTCTACTAAGGCTTGTTTAAACTGGTTTAAGTCGGGTATGGTGATGATAGTGTTTGGCAGGTCGTTCCAGATGGGGATCGTTGATGGGTAGAAACTGGTGCTATAGAACTTGGATTTAGCGTTGGGTCGGTGGTATGAAAACTGGTGCGAGCTCCTAAGGGTTTTTGTTTTGGGCCTAAGGTCGTGTTTGACTTCAACGAGGTTGTGAGAGATCTTGTACATCATGGTTAGTCTAGCAATGGAGCGACGTGTTTCAAGTAGAGGCCAACCAAGCTGGTTCAACATATCTGTGACACTTGCAAGCCTGGTGAAGTTGTTACAACACATCCTGGCAGCGTATCTCTGGATACCTTCAAGTTGTTTGTTTTCTTCCTCAGTGAAGGTGGCCCAGCCGCAGGCACCATACTCTAGTTTGGGG